ACACCCCAGGCTCCCCAGAGGAGATGTGGGGACAGGTGTTTTTTTCACAACTGGCCGGCCCCGTAGGCAGAATCCTGTAGGGCCCCTGACCCTGGAACTGTGGACTTCTCAGAGTGTGGGGCTGGGGCTGGGGGCCAGCGGCTAATGCCACACCTCCATGCTGGGCCAGAGGGGGGCGGTGTCCGAGCTCTGGCCAGCCAGAGACCGGCGGGGGCTCAAACAGGTGAACAGCAGACCACTTGTCATCCAGTCAGTACCAACTCTTGGTGACCCCAAATGCCTGAGAGTAGAACGGGGCCAGGGAGGGTGTTTTGGGTTTATTGGCACATGATCCACGCATGATACCAAGAAGAGAACAGTTTCTTCTTTCTTGTCCTCATTGTTATGAGCTCCCTACGTCCTCCACTTCATAGGGCTTTTCACGGCTGGTTCTTTAGAACGAGACCACTTCCGGTGGCCCTGACCTCCAGCCTTTTGGAGAGCAGTCCTAACCATTTGCAACAGCACAGGGGAATGGGTCCTTCTCCCAGCGGTCCTCTGCCTTGCTGCCCTGGCCTTGATGGGGCCCGACCCTCAGTCGGTGGGTCCATGCCAGCAAAGGAGGCTCAGCTGGTGAGTGGCCTGTGTCCACAGGCTGCAAGTACAACCAGGTGAACAGCCACTTCCACTGCATCCGAGAGGGCTGTCAGTTCTCCTTCCTCCTCAAGCACCAGATGACCTCGCACGCCCGGAAGCACATGCGCAGGATGCTGGGCAAGAACTTCGACCGTGTGCCCCCTTCGCAGGTGAGCCCCGCCCCTCCCCGCTGCGGGAGGCCCCACCCCTGCTTCCAGGTGGCGGGTCTCGCCACCCCCAGCCCCCAGCCCAGCTTCCTCAGAGACCCGGCTTCCTTTCAGGGTGCCCCTAGCCTGATGGACCCCGAGACCGACGAGTACATGGATTACACAGGCTGCAGCCCAGGCGCCGTGTCCTCCGAGTCGTCCACCATGGACCGGAGCTGCTCCAGCACCCCTGTGGGCAATGAGAGCACCGCCGTGGGTAGGCAGCCGGGGGACAGACCGGGCGAGGGAAGGGCACCAGGGAGCCCATCTTGGGACAGAGCTGGGTCCGGTGGCCTGAGGCGGGCAGGCTGGGTGCAGCAAAGCCCTCAGGTCCGCAGATGTGAAGTGGGTCCCTGAGGCCACCTCCCTCCCCATGGCCCACAGCGTCCTCTTCAGAGGGTCCCGGGCACCTGGGAGCTGCTCAGGTGGACCTTCCTATGAGGCCCTTCTGCCCACTGTCCCCAGGCCGGACCACTGCCCCAGAGCTCAGGCCCACAGTGACCGGCCCACACCCCTCTGTCTGCTCTCTCCCCTCCTCCTCTCTGCTCCTCATCCGCCACATTCTCACGCCATACTTGCTCCGCCATCCGGGTTCTCATTTCGGTTCTTTTGTTTGTTCTTTGTTTTGGTTTTTGTTTGTTTGTTTTTGTTTTTCTGCTCTTCTCCACCCTCTCCAGGCTGCCCGGCTCCTCCTCCTCCTCCTCTTCCTCCTCCGGCCGCTGCTGGTGACGAGGCTGCCCCTGTGGCTCCGCTGCCCCCACTGCCTCCATCCTTTCCGCCGGCCCTGCTCCGGCCGCCCCTCCCCCCCCTGCCATACCTCCTCTCTCCGTCCTGTCTCTCATACTCTCTGCTCAGTGCCACTCTGGGAGCCAGCCGGGGTCTGGCCCCGCCCACCAACAGCCCACCCAGCTTCCCGTCTGTCACTGCCACTCCAACTCCAGTAAAAAGTGACGTCCCCCTAGTTCAGGATGCCGCAGGTAACGTGCTCACCGCTGTCTGTTGCCCCTCCAACCTGTGAGGCCAAAGTCCAGGACCTGACTCTCCCTCACAGCTGGCCCCGGTGGGCGGTATGGCCAGCCAGGCCCCTCACCAGCCAAGCATCCTGAGGCTGGAGAGCCTGGTCTCTGTCCAGATGTGGACAGGACAGAATGTCCCCCTCAGGGCTCCCGGAACATGTCCCAAATCAGCAGAGAGCCAGAGCCACCATGGCTGCTCCTGGCCCGCCCCTCTCCCTGCTGGGCTCCCGAGAGGCTGCCTCCTGCTCACCTGGGACCTGCAATAGGAGGGACAGAGCATGTTCCTGGGAAGGTGTGCAGCATCGGGGGCCCACTCCGCCCGACCCCCCAGGGCCAGGAAGGAAGGAGAAAGCCCTCTAGCCTCATCCCTGGCAGTGCCCCAAGGCCACATGACCCACCGTGTGGGACCTGCCCTCCCAGGTCCCTCTGCCAGGGCTGGCAGTGGGGGTGGGCTCAGCAGGAAGTGGGGCAGGAACCATGCCCCCATGGAATTTAGCCCCTTGAAGGCTCTGTCACCAACATAACCAGGCAGAGCCCTGTGACTTGGGGCCCCCCGCCAGCAAATCCTGCCAGGAGCCGGGGCGGGGGGCCACCACCCCATCACAGTCCTGCAGGGTTGGAGGGAGTGATTGGGGGATCTGTGGGCAGGGCGGTGACTGGCGCAAAGTAGCCCATGCAAGTTGGCTGGCTGGGGGGTGCCGGGGGGAGCCGCCCCCTCCTGAGTAGGGTGAGGCCTGAGAGATCCATTTGAGTTTCTGGAAGTGGCAGGGGAGGAAGTCAGGAGGGCTGGCTTTCCCTTCAGCCTGAAACTACAGGGGCCCTGGGTGCCTCTGGCCCCCCATAAATGGAGTGGGGAAAGCACACTGGCCAGCCCTCAGGACAAGCAGCCTTAGGGGCGTCTGGAGTCCTGAGAAGCACTCGGGGCCGGTGGGTGGGCACAGCTGGGCACCCATTCTCTAAGCCCGTGGCCCAAGTTGATGGCCCTGATGTGGGTGTGCAGGGAGCTGACTCCTGGGCTCCAAGCAGCTAGGATGGAGCCCTGCTGGCATAGTGCTACCCATAAGGTCAGCAGTGTGAAACCACCAGCCGCTCCTCAGGAGAAGGATGAGGCTTTCTACTCCTGTAAGTAGGAGTTACGGTTGCAGACCCGCGCGGGGGCAGTTCTACCCTGTCCTGTAGAGCAGCTGTGAGTCAGAAGCCTCGCTGGCAGTGAGGCTGTTGTTTGCGGTGGGCGTTGAGCTCACGGAGGCTGGCTCATCAGCAGAGTAAGCCTCTCCTGGCCCACCAGGCGCAAACAATTCTGAGACCTGAGAGCCGCTGGAACCTCAGGGCAGGGAGTTACAGCTCCAGGGCATTTGGCATCCCTGCTGCCAGTAGGCTGGTCCCCGGTGCACAGACAGGCAGCCAGCCGGGGAAAACCAGTTAGCCAGCGGGACCAGGAGCCGGCCTGCCCCTCATTAGAGACGGGCGCATGATGGCACCCTGGCCCTGGTCCAACCTGGGTAATTACGCTCCGCAGACCTAGATTCCCCCTTCAGCTTCAATTAGCGCCAGGCCGCGCGTCTTCACTTCCCACCCAAACTGGCCAGGAAGCAGCCGCCACGTCCTGCAGCGTCCCCCCCTCCCCCACCCAGGGGAAGCCTGAAGGGGCCCTCCCGGCTGGGGGGCGGGGGGAGGCGTGTGAGAGAAGCCTAAGGTCCCTGCATAAACGGTGCCCCCTGTCCAGGCCAGGCTGGGGGCCGGATGGGTGTGACCCTGGGGATGGCATCCTTCTGCACTGACACACACCCCCTCCGCTCCTCCTCCCCCAGGGAACACCATCTCCATGCCCACGGCTTCCGGGGCCAAAAAGCGATTCTGGATCATCGAGGACATGTCCCCTTTCGGCAAGCGACGCAAAACGGCCTCCTCCCGCAAGATGCTGGACGAGGGCATGATGCTGGAGGGCTTTCGGCGCTTCGACCTCTACGAGGACTGCAAGGATGTGGCCTGCCAGTTCTCGCTCAAGGTCACCCACTACCACTGCACGCGGGAGAACTGCGGCTACAAGTTCTGCGGGCGCACGCACATGTACAAGCACGCCCAGCACCACGACCGCGTGGACAACCTGGTGCTGGACGACTTCAAGCGCTTCAAGGCCTCGCTCAGCTGCCACTTCGCCGACTGCCCCTTCTCGGGCACCAGCACGCACTTCCACTGCCTGCGCTGCCGCTTCCGCTGCACCGACAGCACCAAGGTCACGGCGCACCGCAAGCACCACGGCAAGCAGGACGTGATCAGCGCGGCGGGCTTCCGCCAGTTCAGCTCGAGCGCCGACTGCGCCGTGCCCGACTGCAAGTACAAGCTCAAGTGCTCGCACTTCCACTGCACCCACCCGGGCTGCCGCCACACGGTCGTGGGCATGTCCCAGATGGACTCGCACAAGCGCAAGCACGAGAAGC